AGGGGTGTGTGCGCGTGCACGTGCACGTGCGTGTGTGTGTGTGTGTGTCTGGCAGGTGGGGTGGGGTGGTGGCTGACAGAATGGTGCCCCCTATTCTCAGGCAGGTGGACCTGTCCAAGGCCTGCCTCCCCTGCTTCTCAGCTGTGTGACCTGGGGCAAGCCATGTACCACCAGGGCCTCTGTTTCCCTATGGGCTAAATAGGGACAACAGTACTGACTTCAGGTGGGCGGGCGGTGGGGGGGAGGCTGAGATTTAAATGAGATAATACAGAGAGTACAGAGAAGTAACCAATAAAGGTAACATCTTTCTTTTTCTTTCTGCTCCCCATGAAGACACTCACTCATGCATACACACACGTGCATATGTACACACATGTACACACACACACGTGCACATTCCTATTCAACCACTGGGCTTCCCAAGAACACATCATCCTCAAAAAGAAAATAGCTGTTGGGGTGCCTGAGTGGCTCAGATGGCCGGGCGTCTGCTTCGGCTCCAGTCGCGGTCCCAGGGTCCTGGGATCAAGCCCTGCATCAGGCTCCCTGCTCGGTGGGGAGTCTGCTTCTCCCTCTTTCGGCCCACTGTTCCCCCTGCTTGTGTGCTCTCTCACTCTCTCTGGCAAATAAATAAATAAAATCTTAAAAAAGAAAACAACAGTCAAAGGGGCCAAGGTGGGTCTCCATGTGCCCTGGCCAGCTGAGGACCAGAAGGGGGCGCTGCGAGGAGGGGGCCGACTTAGGAAGCCTGAGTGGAGTGATAGGTTAGGGCTGGGGTTGGATGTGTCAGCCGGAAGCCAGCCTGCCCCGGGTTTGGATCCTGGCCCTGCTGCTTGCCAGCCGGCTGACTGGGTAAGCTATGGCGGCTGTCTGGGCCTTGATCTCCTCTGTGGAATCACGTCACGGTCTGTCTACCGTGTAAGACTCTAATGAAGGCTGAACCCTCAGTCTTTCCTCTGGCAGATGTTCTGAGCATCTGCTCCGGGCGCTGGGGATGTAGTGAGAAGAGTAAGGGTACTCTGCGCTACCGTTTCCCCAGAACCGACGTCCCAGGGAGAGGGACCGAGAGTCAGCGCCATGAGTGAATGGGCCACGTGTGAGTGGTGATTCATTCTCCATGAGGAAGGACGAAGCCAGGAAGGGGAGGGCAAGCACTGGGTGGATTTTAGCAGAAGGCTGGAGCCCGCCCTGCCGAGCAGCTCTGTGAGGAAAGACTGGAAGGAGGTGTGGGAACAGGCCAAGGGGCTCACTCGGAGAGGGGCCACGTGGCCCAGGCAGGGGCAAGAACCAGTGCAAAGGCCCCAGGGCAGGAACACCGCTGGCAGGTGCAGGCAGCAGCCGGCAGGCCAGTGTGGCTGGGGAGGAGTCAGGCGGGGGAGCGGCAGGAGGTGGCGTCCGAGGGCAGGGAGGGCCAGGCCAAGGGGGCCCTGACTCTGAAGGACATGGGGGGCATGGAGGACTTTGAAAAGAGGAGCAACGTGATCCGACGGATCTTTCTAAATGACCCTTCCTTCCGAAATGTTGAAGATGGACCCTAGAGAGCGAAGGGAGAGGCAGGGAGGTCGGTCAGGAGGCCAGAATCCAGAGGAGGACGGGAGATTGGCTCAGGGTGGCAGCAGGGGAGACGGTGAGAGGCAGTCAGAGTCTGGAAACGCTCTGAAGGGAGTACCCCCCGGGTGTGCTGAGTGGATGGCAGGGTGGAGGGAAGGGATGCATGTATGCCGGGGCTTGGGGCCGGCCCAGCAGCAGCCCACATGTGTGTTTGTGGTGGGAGGCGGGAGAACGGGAGCTGCCTTCCTAGGGGCTGCGTGAAGACGGGGCGCCACCACGGCTGTGCTGGGTCAGGCTCACCTGAAGGGTCCGTCCTCAAGGGACATCCTTTCAGTGTGGGGCTGGGGTTGAGAGCGAGGCTAGCCGTTCAGAAAAGGGCTGGGCTCTCCCCCACAGAAGCCAGCCAGCGGCCTGGGATCAAAGCCGGGGAGCTCGGGCCTGGTCCGCCTCCCCCATCAAGGCTGGGCTGCCACAGCCTTGCCTTCCCAGCAAGACAGAAATGGGACCCAGGCCCCCACCCCAGGCCCTGTGAACACCCGCAGGGCCCCTGCGGCCTCACACTTGAAAGAGCCAGGGGGTTATCTGCAAAATTCCAATTAAATCCACAGGCTTTGATAATTTGATAAGCCGCTCTACAGTCGCCCCTGAGTCAAAATACACTGTTACTTGAGCCTGTGTTTATGTTTCAGGATGGAGGGGGAGGTGTATGAGGCGGCTCTGAGGGAGGGGGGTGCAGGCTCTGGGCTGATGAATCGTCAGCCTGTCAGGCCCGGGTCACCGACGGGTCTGGGCTCTAACGGCAGGCACGCTGTGGTCTGGAACATGCGTCCCTCTTGGCAGCTCCTGGAGGCCGAGCAGGGCCCGGGGAAGAGAAGCCCTTCAGAACTGTCTGTCCACAGCTGACCCTACTTCTGGAGCCTGAGGCCTGTCTCATGCTGGAGGGCTTCCTGGTCTCAGGCCATCTCTTGCCAGACCAGCTGTGAGCCAGCCCAGGTGGCCGCTAGCCCCTCAAGAAAGAGGCCAATAAGCCCCCTGACGTGGTGACTTGGACGCAAATGCTTTCCCCTGCAGCAGAGAGTGTGCACTGGGTCACATTCCTTTCTGCTCTACAAGCTTCCATGAACAAGACTGCGGAGTACTACCTACAGGCCAGTAGCCCTGACCAGGTTGTCTTCATGCACTTGTTACCTGTCAGCCCTCTGGACCACTCCACGAGTCCCATGTTATCATGTGTTAGGGATGGGAAAACAGAAACACAGAGAAGTTGAGCCAATGACCAGAGACACAGCCTAGAGTGGCAGATCTTGATCCCAGAGCCCGGCTAGGCAAAGCCATGCCCACTGCCTCACCAATATATCACTGTCTCCCCACGCCTGGTTGGCATCATTCCGGAGGGCCTTCTGGAGGGGAGCAAAAGGCTAACCTATTGCCATGAGTGCAGAGGTGGGGAGGTGACACAGGACCAATTTACGCAGCTGACTGGCAGAGAATGGGGCAGAGGGGCACGGATCAAGGGCAGGGTCAGTGATTTTGTGGCCATGCACTGGCTGCTTCACCTGACAGCAGTATCCCTTTCCCCTCTGGGGGTCAAGTGATCACATGGGACTTCAATGACAATCGCCTGGGGAGGGACACCTCTTCTCTCCCCATGGAAGGAAGCAGAAAAGAAAGGGGAGGCTGTGAGAGACCATCACAGCCGGATGGACCAGGGCCACTGCTGGGGTCTCTGGAGCCTTCCTCTGCCCTGGGAGAGTGAGGATGGCTAAGGCAGGAGCACAGACGGGGGGGACGGAGAGGGACACAGAGAGGCTGGGGACCACCGTCCCCCTGACTCCTCCCAAACCAGGAGGGCAGCGGGAGCTGTGGAAAGAGTATGGGCCTCTATATGAACCTGAAAAATCTGGGTTCAAGTTCAGGCTGCTGCTGTGAGCCTGTTTCCACATCTGTAATGTGGGGATAAGAATACACGAGTCCCCTCTCATGAGCCCGACACAGCAGGTGCAGCGAGGGCAATGCTTCTCCCTCTGGCGAGAGCAGGCTTTTCTGTCTCGTTTCATTGTTGACGAAGCTCTGGCCCAGCCCTCATGTCCTCTGAGTTTCACCGATAATCGCTGGAGGGAGCCAGAGCAGGGACTCATCCTGGTCCCTTTGTGGCAGAGGAGGGAAATGAAGCTCAGGGAAGCCACGGAGTGACCTGCCCCGAGCCTGTGTGGCCAGTCAGCAGCACAGGTGGGGCGTGAACTCCTCCTAGTCTCTGTGGCTTTCCACGAGTCTACCTTGTGAACCCGTCACTGATGAGTTTCTGATGGTCTGTGGCATTTGCTCGTTTCTTAAGCCCAAGGCAGCCCTCGGAGAGATGGCAAGCCTCTGGGCTGGCAGGTTTTTCTCCCCCGAGGGCCCAGGCCATTTTAGGCTCTGAGTCCTCTAGTGCAACTGGAAAGAGAAGGGTCCCTCCCGGCAGGACGGCCATGTACGGATGTGCAGAGCACACACTCAGTGCCGTCAATGGTGCCCTAAGAGCCATTCAACACACACCCTGTCTTCAGGCTTTTTCTCCCCATCCCCAGGTGGCCCCGGGCCTCTTCCCACCTGCCCCAGGTCATTCCTTCGTACTATTCTTTCCCTGCAGTACCTACCGCATCTGCCTCTCAGCCACCCATCCTTGTACTCTGAGGTTTTAGGGGAAAAGAGATGTTGAGGGATGTGATCTCTCGCACCCTCACCTTCTCCCCAGCCAACACCCTTCCCTGTCCGCCCTCTTCTGTGCATCAGCTCCTGGTGGAAACCGGAGTTCTGTCTCCACTGAGAACCCAGTCTGCTGAGGGAACTGTACTGAGCAAGCGAGGGCGGCCCTCACAGCGGAGCCTGGTCGTACGGGTGAGAAACCGGCAGGACCGGGTGGATCTTCTTGACCACCAGACCCAGAGCATTCTTATTCCAGAGAGAAGAGACACCTGCTTGGTTCCCCATTTCTCCCCAAGCGTGGAAATACCAGCCAGCACCGGACTACTAGGAATCAAAGATTTGGGTTAGAGCCTCCTGCCTGTCACACAGCCAACCAGCTATGTGACTTCGGACAATCACCTAAACTCACTGGGCCTCAGTTTCCTCCTCCGTAAACACAGCTACTAATGATGGTCAACCCTGGACATCTGAGCAGAGGGACCGTTAGACTTTCTTTCACCTCATCTGCTCCTTACAGTAACCTGGGAGCTAGAAAGAGTGTACGGGGAAACCTGTCCCCCAAATGCACAGACACCCTCACTTGCCAGCCCTGGGGTCAAGGGAAATGAGGTCAAGGCATTAAGAGTCTGGGGAACAATGGTCCGTATACCTTTGGCCCATCTCTCCCCCTTTCCTTGTGTCCCCACATCCTGAGCCTCTCCAGGCTGCCCTCCACTTTTGTCCACACCTCAAGGCACAAAGAAGAGGCCTGAACTACCACTTACTCTTTTGGGGGGTTGACATCCTCTGGTCGGGCCTCAAAGAACCGAAAGACTTCCTCACACTGTGATATGTGGGGAGGCAGCCGAACAAGTGCCTGTGGAAAGACAGGAAGAAAGGGCATTAGGTGTGATGAAAGCCCCAAGCAGGGTCCCCTTGGGCTGCCAGTGACGGCAGAGGCTCAAGGACGGTGCCGTGGACGACACAGCCAACTGGCCAGCCACCCCGCCACCGCCCCAACCAGACAACTCATCAACAAATCAACCAATCAGCTACCTAATGAAACAGCTCTCCATCCATCCCACCCATTAGCCAACCTGCCAATTAATCTACTAACCAACTAGTCAAGTAATAAAAATAACTCACTGGTCAACCCCAATGAATCTATCAACCATCCAGCCAACAATTCAACCAACCAACCATTCGACCAGCCAGTTCGCCAACTAAAAACCAGCCAACAAAGCAAAAAACAATGCCCGTTGATCCTTATGGCCCTCAAGTCTTAGGGCCCTCGGGAACTAGTCACTCTGTGTGAACCCTGAAAGAATCTCTCCTGGCCACAGAGGAAGTCCAAGATCCTTAGCCCAACAACCCAAGGTCTTATTCTACCAGCCTCGTCTCCCACTACCCACATTCTAGACACACCAGATAGTCACCGTCTCTAAATACCGATTGCACAATTTTTTAACGACAAGCAGATCATTCTAGCAAGGACAACAGGGGGCTGTGACAGAATCCGATAGTACCTAGAAAGATTGGCAGGGTTTTAGGAAGACTTTTCCACAGTGAGAGGAGAAGATGGGCACCATGTGGGGGTAACTGTCCAGGTAGGATCATGGGCTAGCTGTGAGCTTGTCACCCAGAAAGGCCTGAGAGTCTGCTGCTGGAAAGTGACGGGTGACTGCCAGACGTGCTCAGAGCCCCTGCTGTGTACCAGACCGGTGCATACTCCATACCTTATAGCCTGGGGCACCTGGGACCCCTGACCTGCCCAACATGGAGGCAGGGGCAGCGTGAGACCAGGTGAAGCCCTGCTCCTGGCTGCTGCACTCCTGTGCAGAGAAGATCCTGGAATGATTCTTTAGTACAGACAGGAGAGGCCACTGCCAAAGCAGGGCTGAGGGCCAGGGCCAAGGGAACTCTGGGCTAGAGCCAGAAGGGAGAGGAAAACTTGGGCCTGTGGGACTTGCGAAGGACTGCCCATGAGGAGGCTCCAGGTCAGGGGAGAGCTGAACAGAAGCCTGTCAACGAGCCTGTGCCTCGCTGGGCCCCCTTCACCGGGGCTGCTTCAGGGGCCATGATCCAATCTGGCATCTCCCCTATACCAAGCGTGGGGGGCCTCCATGTCCAGAGTCACTGGGAACCTCCTAACGGTCCTCTTGAGGGCAGACCTCATCCTTATGTTACTGGTAAGGAGGTGGAGGCTCAGGGAGGCCACGTGGCCTGCCCACAAGCTGTGTCACGGGTGGGAAAGAAGTTGCTCGAAGGTAAGCTCCATGCAGATGGGAGTCTGTTCTGTTGCCTGCGTGTCCCTAGATCCTAGAAGAGTGCCTGGCACAGAGCGGGCAGGCAACGAGTATTCCTCAAATGAATGAATGAAGAAGGGTTTTGCTGTGCCAAAGCCCAATATCTAATAGTAGTGGGACATGATAATGGGGCAAAAAAGAAAAAAATGCCCATGTGGTCTTTGGCTGCAAGGAGAGAGGTCTAGTGTTAAGGAACAGGGAAGCAACTGCTCAATTCTTCTCTGAGCTGGTCAGGTAACGGTGCAGGTGTGGCACTGAGCACCAGGCATCCCACCATGATGGTCCTTTTTGATGTCATACCCGTACCTGGGCAAGATAAGGCCCAACTACAGCAGGTAAGACAACATCATGCAATGCACAGCTGTTCCTTCTAGAGCCCCTGGCTTTCCGAGGGTCCCTAACACATCCCATTCTGTTTCCAGGAAACAGAAAAGAAGGGGAATGAACATTTAATGGGCAACTGTGTTCCAGGCCCCTTGACCCCAATCATCTGACAAACAGTGAGGGCTTTTCAGTGTGTGCCTCTGACATGGGGCCCTGCTGGGGGTCACAGGGGTGAGTCAGATGCAGCCTCTGCCCTTGCACGAGCACGTCTGATGATGTTGTCGCTGGAGGTAGACATTTTGTCCTGGAGGCAGACACCCTTGCCTCTGTTTATGACGGAGACACTGGGGCTATTGTGCTCATGGGCGGAATGAAATCCTGGGCTCAGAAGGTAGAATGGGTACAGACTCCCCCCAAAGCATCCATGTTGTCACCTAACCTACGTGGCCGGTGCTGTTTTCTCCCCCAGGAAAGGGAGAGGGAAGGGGAAAAGAAAGACCGAGGAAGGAGAAAGAAGGAGGAAGATAGAGAGTGGGGGGAAAGACAAAGAGAGAGAGAGACAGATGGAGAGACAGATCTACAGAAAGAGAGAGAGAGGCACAGGGACATTATCATGTCCTGTGTGCAGCAAAGGCCCCTGGCAGAACCGAAGGGCTGGGCAGGGCAGGGCAGGGCAGGACGCAGGAGGGAAACCATGACCAGGGACCCAGGCTGCGTGCAGACTCGCTGCCAGGGTGAGCTCCCTGAAAGGACGAGGGAAGGGAGCCAGGGCAGGTCTCCAGCCGGCCTGGAGCGCTCGCGCCCTCCCCGCCCAGCACACTGCTACCCACCCGCTGCGCAGGCCCTGGCCGGCCAAGGGCTTGCGCAGCCCCAGCAGCGAACACAGGGGCTCTTCATGCCGACAGAGACCGGCATTCTGGGGGCAGAGGACGTGTGGGCCGTGAGGGCCTCAGACAAAGAGGCCTTTTGGTCGAACCACCGTGGCATCTTTACTTAACAGAGAGCCCCGAAGGGAGCCGCATGGAGGGCTCATCCTGATTTCAGGCTGATGAGAGGCTCTCAGCTCAGGGCAGCTCCCATCAGTGCCACCGTGAAGCCCAGCTCTGGCCAAAATCATTTGGCAGGAGATCTTGAAGCTGAGCAGTCCGTCCCCAGGGCCTGGGCCAACGATGACTGTCAGAGCTGGGGAACCCCCCTCCCCAATCCAGCCATTCTGAGAGGGCCATACGTGGCTATTTCCAAGGACACCTCCAGACCTAAAAGTCTGCCATTGGACATCCAAGATCTCTGCTGTTGGGTGGTTAAGTCTGGGCCTGAGGGCCTCAGGGCCAGCCAGACACAGGTTTGAGTCCTGGCTCTACCGTTCACGGGCTGTGTGATGCTGAATGTGCTGCTTGCCCTCTCTGAGCTCAGTACAGTGGGTTTGATATGGCACCTATTTGTTAAGAGACTAAGTGAGATTATGACAAGGAAGAGCCTAGCACAGTGCCTGGCACTGAATAAACACTCTGGAAGTTTTAGTTGTGCTATTGTCTTTGCTGTCATTACTCTTTAGGTGAGTGCAGTGATGCCAACTAGAAAGAACACTGGGATAGGAGTCAGAGACCTCAATTCTAGTTCCAGTCTGGCCCTTATACACTTGCTACACGAGCCCACCTCACACCTCAGGTTATTTCTTCTAGGATAGAACAGACAAACTCTGGAATCTCACACTATCTCATGGAACACCTGTTCGAGGAGGTAAAATGAATTCTGTGGGCATATATGAAATGATGCCTTGTAGATGCCCACCTTGGTCTTGGAGAGCACCATGTTCGTTAGTACAGCAAAGGCTCTGAGCAGTCCTGCAGGAAAGAAACCTATAGAGCTTTGTTTAGGTCAGCACTTATTAATAATCATGACATGCTGGGGGATTGGCTCATTTAATCATCACATTAACAGTATATACCCATCTCAAAGGGTATGACTAATTCCACTTTTACAGAAGCAAATAAAGCACAGAGAGGTTAAGTAACTGTTCAAGGCCACACAGCTAGTAAGCAAGATTTTCATTTGGGCCATCTGAGTCCAGAGCCTGTGCTCCATCTGATCTACTGATCTGTATTGCCTCCCGCACTACCCACAGGTCTCTGATTATGTAGCAGGTCCTCCAACGATTTCTACTAACTGCCCACAGAACACAGCTGGGACATATCCAGGCCACAGATATTCTGAAACTTCTTCCGGCTCTAACAGTCCAAGGCTCCAGCACTGCAAACAGCACCACTAGGAGTGAACTCCATGTCTGACCCATCATCCAATCCGACTGAGCCTTTCGATTCAGGCTAGGTGGGAAGAGCTGCAATGAGCATGACCTCCCAGCCCTCAGCATCTAGGGAGGGGGCCGCTGCCCCATGGGGCTGCTTAGGGTACGCAGGCCCCCACCCTATGTAAGCTGAGCTGACTTCAATCCCCTTCTGACCTTGCCATTCTGTGGCCCAGGGCGATCGTGAGCTGGCCAAGAGCAGATCTGGAGAAATAAGGCAAGGGAAGTAGCTGAGGGCAGAGGGTGCCTAGGGCTGGGGGAGACTGGTGAGGAAGTACTAAAGAGCCACCCAGGTTTGCCATCAGGCAGTCCTTCCAGTGCCCCCTTCCCCAGTCCTAAACTGCCCTGAGGTCTCTAGATCCTGGCCTGCCCCACACGGTTTTCTGAGAGCCAGCGACACGGGCCACCATTTGCACTGTGTCATCCTTCTAGAAGACACAGATTCAGATAAAACAGAGGGTGGCTGTGTGCCTCTGAGACCTCCACCCAGATGCGGCCAACACAACCCTGGTTTCTCCAGTGTGGTGGCATGGGAGGGGCCCCTAGGCAGACTGTCCTCAGACCTTCTTCGAAGGGACCCCCCCCCCACCACGTCCACGAAGCCCACCACTCTGGGTAGGTCTGTCCAAGGACAGAAAAGTTTTACATCTGGCCAAATAACCATGGGCGTCCTGCTCTTTCCATGGGATCAAACGTTGTCCTCTTTTTAGGAACATCATTTTGATTTCTAATCAATGGAAATCTGGGCAAAAGCTGAGTGACCAAGGACAGGGGGTGGGCGGAGGGGGCATGGCACAGGGGGCTGGAGTCCCACCAAGCTGGCCACCCACTCCCTGCCCCAGCCCCACCCCTGGGCTGCCTCTGGCCTGCCTGGACTCTTTCTCCTGGATCCCTACCTAGGAAGCTGGGCTCATGGAACTTCTGTAAATCAGTATCTCAAACACAGGAGTTCTCTTTTTGAAGGACCAGGCTGCAAATCCTTTTGAAATGGAAATAGCATCTCATTCACAGCAGCACATGAAGCCATGTCACAAGAGCTCCTAATACATTGGGGCTTCAGGGACATGTCACCCTCCTGGGAGGTGTCCTCTGCTCATGTGCGATCTTTGCATCTTATTGGCAGACATTGCCTGGATACCTACATGGGGCCAGGCTTCCTGCTTGTTACTGAAGACACAAAGATAAAAGTTGTGGTCCTCAAGGAGCTCCAGGTCTGGAAAAGGTGGACACACAGAAACTGTCCTCCTACAGAGGATTGATGTCCTGTCTGGAGGCATGCACAGTTTTCACAGCAGGGGTGCTCAGCTTTCCCTGGGAAACCCAGGGAGCTTCTAGAAGGGGCACCGTGGGAGCTGAATCCCCAGGAAAAGGACTAGCAGGGGCAAAGGGTGGCAGCTTGGGACTCTGGCTAGTTGGGAACAGCGGCACTTCTGATGGACTGGACTGCAGGGCGCGGAGGATAGGCAGATGCTGAGGCCTGAGCAGCACTTCGGACGAGCCCACAGAGGGCCCGGCCAAGCCCCTCATGGGTTCTTATGGGCAATGGGGCTCCTCTGAGGGTCTTCAAGGAGAAAAGGGACACAATCAGTTTTATTTCAGGCTAGAAATCCTTTTCCTTGGTATATGGACTAACAGAGACAGAGACATTCTATCACTTGGTTTCCCCAGAGTACCAGCCAACTTGAAAGGCATGAATGCATCAGTCTTTGCTCTCTGCCTCAGTCTCCCTATAGCAACACTCTTAGAATGAGGCCACAAGAAGTCAGTCTCCCTGTATCTAGGACTGAGTATAACAGGAAGCTTCTGGCGCTTCTTCACGGAGTGTGTTTTGGTTGGGACATGAATCTTTCTCTTTATTAAGGTGAGACCCAATGACGGGCCATGCATGGTGAGAGGGAGATGCCCGGGACTAAGAACCACCACCCCCAGATAGTCTCAGTTTTCAAACCTGGAAAGTGGGGGATAAAACTGAATGAGTCTGGGAGGTTCAGAGAGTCAGGGGTGGGGTGGGGAGAGATCCTTACCCCTTCAGGGCTGACCCTCCCTCCCCCAGTCTGACTACAACCAACCCCTCATCCCTCCCACAAAGAAAGCCATTGATCCTGAAAGCAAGTCTCTCTTGGACAACAGAATAATAGAAGCAATCTTAGCTTTTGGGGCAAAAAAAAAAAAAAAAAAAAAAAAAAAATACTAGTTGCACCCATCAGGAAATGAAGACGTTCTGTTCGTCATTACCATGGCAAAGGGTGAGTTGATCATTCTCAAACACTGCCTCTCACTGCCCCCCACCCACCCCCTGCCCCAGGATATTTATTTTATCCCACAGAAAAACACTGCAAACATGTATTTCACACGCAAATGGAATCACTTACACAACTGTTAGTCCCAGCCCCTAAAGTATAGCTCACGCTTGTTAGTGAGATGAAAGTCTTCGACTTTTTGAGGCCACAGAACCATTAAATATTAACCGCATAACCATGTTGCCTATTAAATTAATTTATGGAGTTAAAGAAATGCCTTTGGAACCTTCTTGATAGACACCCAGCCCTCAAGTGCCACATAAAACAATCACCCGGCTCGTGCTCGGTCAATTTTCCGTGACGCTCATCCAATCTGCTCTATATATGTTTAAAATTAACACTGAGATTTGGGCTGTGAAACCACCTTTGGGCAGAGGGACTGGCTGGCCCGCGAGGGCAGGGAGCCTGAAGTCTGGGGAGGTCTACCGCACGGTCAGACTTTCCACGTCTGAGTCCTGGCAGGGGAGCTGGCTGCTCAAGGTGCAGAGCCAGCTTCACAGTCTTGGGTGCCCTTGAATCCCCAGCAAATCCCGGCCCGGGAGTCCACGCTGTCTAGGAGCCCAAGGAAGATGCTGGCCAGCCAAGCATGGCTGCATATGCAGGGTATTTGAAATAAAAACTCCAGCAGTGTGTCCCAGGACAGACATGGATAAGGGAAGGGCTGGCCATGGAGCAGAGTGCATATGGGACTGACCATGGGATTCACGGAGGGGCCAGTGATATTGAGCGAAACTTGGATCCTGAATGGCCATAGACTGGACCATTGGGAGGCAGAGCTGCGACATGCAATGCTGGGGTGGGGGTGGCTAAGGACTATTTCTGGCTTATCCCTAATGACCATTCCAAGGTCATCCCAAGGTCTCCGACAACGAGACCACAGATTCCAGCTTTCTAGTTCAGCAGAATTAAAGGTCACTTCTGCACTGACCTGCCCCCCTGCCATTCTCAGAGTAAATTACAGCCTGTGAGACGGCTAGCTGCTTGCCGAACCCGACTTGGCTCTGAGCAACTCCTGTCTGTGTTAATCAGGTTAGGAGGCCCTGCCTCTTGCAGACCCCACTTAAATGGCGCCCCTGGCCAGCAGCAGCAGCACTGGAGCCCCAGAGCCCCCCTGAAACTCATCCTGATTCAGGAGTCCTGTTCAAAGCCTGATCCCCAGAGATAAGATGTTATCGGTTTCCTCCTCCGGATGGCCCAGGACCCAAGACTGCAGATGCCTCGGGCTCCAGGAGCCTCCCAGGCTGATGTGAGCCATAAATCCCCAGCTGGGAGAGGCCTCCCCTGCCCTTCGCCCCCTCCTCCCCGGTCTGTGTCGATTTATTTAACTTCTTGAGAAAGATATATGGAGAAATAAAAGCTCAGGCGGCAGCCATCAACTGAACTGGAAATGGCAAATGCCCTTTAAAGAGAAAAATGAATATTGATCCGAAGAAGAGGAGCCTCTCGCATAAGGGAATTCATCACTGGGAATTCTTTTTAGGTTACGGCAGAAAATGTGACCAAGTATGATTGACTCAGTCATGAAACTGAGACTTGGGTTCATGGAGACTCCATGGGAGTGCTCGTCTGCCTATCAGCTTGGGAACACCAGTTAGGACATTAACAACTTGCTTCTTACTTAAACACTTTTATTGCTCAGCATAGTGTTTCTGAATCATAAAGTATTAGCGAATGGACAGACCCTACAGCCACAGCTCTGTGCAGGGACACAGCATTTGAGAAGCAACAAACACTGTGATACACATTCTCCGATCCAGCCCCCTTCAGGAGCCCTGCGAGGGAGCTGTCTTTACCCTGTTCTACAGATGAAGGAACCTGGGCCTCAGAGAGGTAGAGTAGCTTGCCCAGAGTCACAGAGCCTGTGGGGAGGCAGTGGGATTCGATTCCAGCTCGCAGGTTTCATTTAACTAAGAAATCCTATCTCCACGAAAGCCAGTGGGAACATTAAATTGTTTATGCCTTGTAGTAATAATAATCCAAAGCTGGCGTTGGCTGACTGCCTCCTCCCGTGCTTGCACTTGCTGGCCTGTGTCACTTGCTTTCCTCCCCATGACTACCTTCTGTGGAGCTACTAGTCTCCCTATTACACAGATGTGGAAACTGAGGCTCTGGGAAGTTCAGTGGCTTGCCCAAGTTCACAGAGCTAGTGAGGATTCTGAACCCAGGCAGCCTCGCCATCCAGAGGCCATGTGTCAAGGCCAACGAAGTGGGCGCCTGGCACTTTCCCTGTAGGGGTCCTGGTTTCTAGTTGAAGGCTAGGCTAGTCTAGGCTCTTGTCTAGAAAGACAAACGGGGTCTTCTTCATGACATCGCTGTCACTGTTTCATCTCTTCGTTGGCATTGGCTGTTTTCACGCACTGGCAGTTGAGTGCACACACGCCTGTGTGTGTGTTTGTGTGAGTGTGTGTGTAAGCGTGAGCACTGGCACGGGTAAAAATGTGTACATAAACATCGGAAACCATCAGGACTTCTGTGAAGAAACAAATATGCAGTTCAGAACTTTCAGATGCTATTGCACTCAGAATTGATTCCAACAACTCTGGTCCCAAAAGGAATTCAAAGCAACAGCTCCCCTGTGTCCAGCAAAATGTCACATACAGAACATCTCCCTTCATCAGGAGACCCCTTAACCGAGCTTCCAAGCCCGTGGAAGTGATTTAAAATAGCGTTTTGTAAACACAGGCGTGTCCTGAAAAAAGTCAAGTCTCAGCGTGATCCCAAGGCCCTTGTGCCCCAAAGAGTGGCCCAGTCACAAGTGACCCCTCCCCGAGGAACACTCAGACCCACCTCCCTGGCCCGGAACTGCCAGGCGTGCTAGACCACAGCAGAAGGTCTGGGACAGATGGTGCTCCTCCATGGACAGACAGACAGACAGACTCTGTGGCTGGCTGGCCGGCCCCTCCCCCACCTGCAGGTGCACGCTTACCCGGCAGTACTCGTCAATGGGCTTCAGCCTCTTCACAGCTACGTCCCGGATGTGGCTTCTCCGGAAGAGGATTTTGCCTGGAACAGAGAGGGCTGTGAGCTGGGTGACTCTGGGGAAAGCTGCCATACCCCGGCCTCCTACCTTCTCAATCCCCTCTCCCTCGGCTTCTCAGCGTTTCAGCTGGCCACCGAGTGCCTCCGCCCCTGCCCAGCATCAAGAACACAAGAGATGGGCAGTCACCTCTCCCAGGGGGCAGGAGGCGCCCGAGGCTGAGAGCCCAGGACCTCTGGGGCCCAGGAGTGGCCTCCGAGGCTGCCATCTTGGCCAGATCACCTTGTCTGGGTCTCAGGGCAGGATCGATGGCCTGACGTGGGCGCGGCTCCCAAGTGACCTCACAAAGAAATACAAAGGACGGCCCAACCCACACGCTGGGTTTTTTGTTCTCGGGCCCTTCCCTCCTTGAGAAATCGGCATTCATTCCTGCCAGCCAGGCAGGAATTCCTATTCTTAGTTTAGGTGGGAGGCTATTTCCAGGGCGGGCGCGGGCCAATGCCAAGGAGTGCGGCTGCCCCAGCCTGACTTTTCCCCAGCCTCTCTGCACACACAGCCTCTAGCAGTTCAGGCCACCAGGTGCAGATGGGAGGGCACACCCCTCTGTAGGTGTGGGCGGGGCTTACAGGAAATGCCAACCCCTGCAGTCTCCCCAGCAGGCTCTTCCGAGCTAGCCCACTTCAATTTTAACAACTAGATCAATGCATGGTCCTTTTCAGCTGGTTCAATTTAGAATTTGAACTCCTTGGTCTGACTCTCAAGTCCTAACAGCTAACATTTCTGTGCCCCACTGCCATCAATGTCTAGGTAAACGCCCCCTTTTTAGAAGGCCTTCCTTGATTGGCCAAGCTAAGAGTAATCTCCCTCTTTTCCACACACTTTGTCCATTCCTAAGGCATGTGCCCCATTCTGCTGTGTGTTACAGATGTTTGAGAATCTCCATCCATCAGGGGTCTGTCTGACACATCTTAGAACCCACATAGCTCGACAAATGGTGAAGTGCTCGCCCTAAAACTGTAATAGGCATCCATTGTCCCTGTCTGCCTGATTTCCCTCTGGAGAGCCTCCCTCCTCCATTCCCAGTCCTTGTGGTTCAAAGGGGCTGACCACACTCCCTGGCAGCAAGGGTAGGCATGTGACCCAGCCCAGCCAACCAGAGTCACAGTGATTGGCTCAGAGATGGGCAGGGGACCTGATCTGTGCCAAGGAGGGTCAGCCGTGAGACTTCTGCTGGACCCCTTTCTCTCCCACAGTTGCTGAGCTGGCAGGATGAAAGCCTCGAGCTTCTCGTGGCCATCTTTATTATTGCCTGAGAAGGAAACCCACAGAGAGAAAGGAGCAGTGCCCAGAACAAAGTAGGTGCTCAGTGAATGCTTCCTGAATGGTTGAAATGCAGAGCAAAGAGATGGCGAAGGGCAGGTTCCTTTGACATCGTTTGAGCAGCAGGACATAGTTGTTCTGGTCTACCTGCTACTTGCCACATGCATAAAACAAGAAAATTATATTTTGCTGAAACTAGTTGGAGATGGATTATTATCACTTGCATTAAAGGAGTTCTAATGAAGAAAATGGCCATTGCAATGTGAACAAAAATGTAGCTTGAAGATCAGTTCATGGGAGCTTCTTCTATCAAGGCCCTAGGGAGGTACTAAGCATTGTCTTGGTTTAGGCTGTTTCCCAGAAGCTGACCCAGAGACGAGGAGCTCCGGTGGTTTATTTGGGAACGGTTCCTGGAAGACAGCACGGAGGAGTAGAAAGGGAGGGAAGGGAAGGAAGTATTACCAAGCCAGTTAATCCCCATGCGGAGCCAACAGCTTGGGTCCTCTGGGGAACCCTGGGGATAAAATGGACTGTACCTCCAAGATTTCCCTATTGAGGGCGAGGAGCATTTACCTCCAGCTCCTGGCCTGTGACCAAATGAGACCATCACATCTCCAGCTCCTCCAGCCAAGTATGTTTGCGAGGCTGGAACGAAATCCCCAGCCATTCCCATGAGCAGCCTTGGGAGACAGAGGTGAAGGGTAGGGGACCAGGGGTGGGGGGCACTGAAGATAGCTGTTACCACCTGAGCTCCCGGTCACCAGCCCTGTTCCCGTCAGACAGCAGAGCAGCTAGTCTGGCCTGTTGTGGGTGACTTGTTTCCCACTGGCATCTCTCATCACCCCACATCGGGTGTGACCAGCTCCTTCCTCCCCTTGGCATCACACTCCACTCAGTACAAGGCTTTGTATACAGCAGGCGCCCCTCACCGCCCCCCAACCCCCGCCCCAAGTGCCTGCTGATGCATTCATCTTCCTCTCCTGCAGTGTCCCTCAATCTCTCATTCCTCCCTTCCTCTCTGAAGCCAGGCAGACGGGCCATCTCCCCGTCAGAGGCCCGACACTCTGTAGACTGGACAATGTCATCAAGATAAATCAGCTCTGCCACGTTCGTTCCTTTTGAAAGGAGATAAAACAAGATTTACCAAGACACTGGAGACCGCCTCTTTTCCTTGGGGGAAGATGTCACAGATTTGGTATTCCTGGCCTCCTTGCCTCCTACCCTTTTTTGGTTGCCTGTTGCCTTGCCGCCTGCATGCCACGGAAGTGTCCGCGCACAGCCCTGGGGACAGCTCGTGAAACAATCGCGCAGCACGGGAGACCGGCTCTCACTCTCGGGCCTAACCAGATGATGAAAGGCCCTGGGCAGACTTTCTGAGTCCTCTGCCTGAGCCTCCCTCCTCGGGAGCTGGAGGATCCCCTGGCCCGGAGATGCCCCTGGCCACGCGGCATCTCACAGGACCCAGAAGGATGCGTCGGAGCAACGGAGGAAAGTGAAAGGAGAGACTGCAGCAGGGACCCAGGCCCACAGACATGGCTCTGCCCTGCGTGCCTCCCGGAAGGAGATGAAACATGACTTATCCTTTCTCCAAAAATAGCACTCGTGCCCTTCCTCATACTGGCGAAGGACGAAAAGGAAAGGAGGCAGATGGGAGACAAACTGCCTCCCGCCCCACCACCCCTATCCCAAGGCTGATCCACTCTCGGAGCTTGATGTCCCCAAGATACATACATCGATCACGTAAGACCTGATCCCGCTGCAGGCAGAACCAGCAGAAAACTCATAGTTAAGGGACAATGAAGGAGCCTCCTTAAGGTGCAGAGAGGGCTGGGAGAAGGAAGGGATGGGGGTGGGAGAAGTGGGGAGACAGGGGTGAGGGCACCCTGTCCACACTGGTAAGGCACCCCCAACTTGCCCCTCGTGCCCACCCCCTGCAAGGGACGCCACCCCGCCTCTGGACCGGACACCTTCCATCCCCTCCACAAGGCTCGTGGGTCTGCCGCTCAGGTGCAAAGTCAGAGGAGAATTTCTGTACAAGCCATTTCCCAGCTGATTCTAGTTTTTTGGAATTCCAGTAGGGCTTCTCTCCTTCCCACTGAAATCCTGACAGGAGCAACGTTTTCTTTTCTTGGGGCTTTGGCCCAGGCCGCAGATGGTAGGAAGGGGAAAGAGGGAGGGAAGATCTGGAAGGGACTCTACGGTCTTGAGTTCTCTGTTAGGAATCCAAACCGCACTCGGGAAGCCACACTGGGGACTGTATTAAAAGGGAGAGAGAAAAAGAGGAGGAGGAGGAAAATCCCCATTAAGGAAGCCGAGACCACAGGGCATTAAAGGCTTCTTGTAAATGTAATTCAGCCCGCTCACAGCTCCTGCCAGAGTCTTCAAAGCCACGCAGGCACTGCCCCAGAAATACGACAAAGCATCATAAGGAAGATTACACATGGGCCATGAACCAGACCTCAGGACATAACTCATTCTTGAAAGTGGAGAAGAAAGCTGTCGAGCCTGACAGGGTCCAAGCACATAGGTGTAGGTCCCTCTTGCTGCTGCTCTGGGCTGGGCTGAGAAGGGGGGACAAGCAGAAGGAGCAGGGGCCTCAGCAGGAGGCCTGGGTTCAAGTCCTGCCTGGGCCACAGGCTGGCTGTGTGACCCTGAAGTGGGGTCCTCCTCCATTGTGGCCTCTGCATTCTCATCTGGAGATGGAAGGCCTGGGGCTCTGCAGCTGCTCCCTCCAGGGGTCCTAAGATGTATATAGCAGGGCTGGGGGGCACTGAGAGGGGCAGAGGAAGAGGGAAACAAGCAGAAATATTAGCCAAGGGCTTACTATGTGCTCTGGCATGTGCTAAGAGCTTTCCACTGGATTCGCTTGCTTAATTCTCATGGCTTTGAAGCAAGTACTTTAAAAAAAAAAAAAAGATTTTATTTTTTTATTTGACAGAGAGAGAGAGAGAGAGAGAGCACAAGCAGGGGGAGCAGCAGGCAGAGGGAGAGGGAGAAGCAGGTTCCCCGCTGAGCAGAAAGCCTGATGTGGGGCTCGATCCCAGGACCCCGGGATCACGACCTGAGCTGAAGGCAGTCACTTAACCGCCTGGGCCACACAGGCGCCCCCCATGTACTTTTATTATCTCTGCTTTGCACAGGAGATATTGGCTCAGAGAGGACTTGTCCAAAATCACACAGCTACTAAGTACTGAGTTGAGACTACAGCCTGGGATTTTGAAGCTCACATAGTAAGGGGGAGGGAGAAGGCAATGAATCCAGAATTCTTTGGGGTCCGATCAAATAAGGCCTTGAAAGCCATGGTGAGGATTTAGGATTTTAGTCTGTGTGATGTGAGCATTAGTAACATGTCCTCCGTACTGCGGGCTATGCTGTGGTCTGGGTCTGTGTAAGCAGTAACTGTGGATGGTGGCATACACATAGTGCACCACGTACCAAGAGTCCCCCGAGGGGTCTGCCTATCTGATACAAGCAGACCGGTGAACGGACCACAAAGTAGGAAGAAGAAGGGACACAGTGTCTAGTGGACTCTGGAAAGAAAGAGCTCCCTGAAACAGCATACCTCCCTGTCCTTCCTGTCCCACCTCGTGGGTCATGTATCAGCCGGAAATCAGGGGGAATTGCCTGTCAGAGGTCAAGCTCTGCCTTAGTCCCCAGTGTGGCCTGACCTTCTCACCAGGAGTGTCCACTCTGGGCCAGGACACAT